GACCCAAGTCTTCCTCGAGTGATCATCTATGAAGGTCACAAAATATAATGCTGGACCCCACACATCTGTGTGAACTAACTCAAGCTTCTCTTCTTTAGGAGTTCTGCCAACCCTTTTGAAGCTTATTCTCTTTTGTTTCCTAAGAATGCAACTTTCACATAAGTCAATATCAGTCGATCTCAAACCTGGTAACTTCCCATTCGACTGCATAATCTTTAGGCCTTTGCTACTCATGTGACCTAGCCTCTGGTGACATAAATTTGGGTCTTCCTTACTTTCAGCCATTGTAATGGAACCACGTGCATCTATCGTTATGTAGAGGGACCCTGTCTTCGTACCACGGGCAACAACCATGGACCCCTTTGTAACCTTCCACGTATCACATGCGAAGGTTGATACATATCCCTCTTTCGCCAATTGTCCTATGGAAATCAGATTTTTCCTCAAGCTAGGAACATGTCTCACATCACTCAGCTTCCATATAGACCCATTGAGCTTGATCTGCACGACTCCTTTGCCAACAATATCACAGGGCTGATCGTCACCAAGATAGACTTTTTCTAGGTTTCCTGAAACGTAGTTCTCAAATAAATCTCTATTTGAGGTAGCATGAAACGAAGCTCCTGAATCCAGCACCCACGATTCAGTCTTGCTCTCCAACGAACAGATTAGGGCATCATCTGATTCTCCTGAGGCCACGTTCGCTTCAGTCTTGTTCTCCTTATCCTTCTTGGGTTCTCGACACTGATTCTCATAGTGGCCAAACTTGCCACAATTCCAGCAATCGATCTCCTTCTTGCTCTTGCGATTTCTGGACTTTGACCTCCCGTTCCTCGAGTTAGGTCATCCTCGGCTATTCCCTCTATTTTTATTTCTGTTTCTTCCTCTGCTCTCAAGATTCAACACCGACCCTGAATTAGAAATCTCTTCCTCTTGCCTTCTAATCTCCTCAGTCATAATCATGTCTACCACCTCTGAAAACTTTAGTTTTGATTCGAGATAACGGTACCCTTCCAACTGTCGGGCAATTGACCAAGTATCAAGAGGGCTTGGATTTCATCGTCAAACTGAATATTGACCGAGTTTAGTTGATCCGTGATCTCGTTAAACTCGTTCAGGTGTTCCTTGAATTTCTGGCTCTCGGACATCCTCAAATTAAACAGCTTTTTAATGAGATGTACCTTATTCGTCGCAGAGGGCTGCTCATACATACTGGACAACGCCGCCATGAGATCCGCTGTTGTATTCTGATTCTTGATGTTGAATGCTACTGATTTAGACAGGGTCAACCTGATCGCTCCAAGGGCCTTTCGATCCAATAGCTTCCAATCCGCATCCTTCATATCCGTCGGCTTCTCTCCCAATGGTAGGTATAAATCCTTCTGATAGAGGTAGTCTTCCATTTGTATCTTCCAGAACCCGAAGTTTGTTCCATCAAACTTCTCAACCTTGGATGTTTCCTTCTCAGATCCCATGTCTCTGACCTCAAATCGCTCGCGCCGAACCTAGTCGCTCTGATACCACTTGTTGGGGATGCACAACCCCCCTGATGTGATTTGGAAATAGAGATTTAGGAGAGAAGAGAGAATTCAATCAATCACAAACACACAAGATTTACGTGGTTCGCTTCTCAATGTGAGAAACTACGTCCACGGCCGCCGCAGGAGAAAATTTTACTATTTTCGTCTTTTTACATCATGCCCTAATCAACCCTTTTATAGACTTAAGGTTTTTACAAATAGAAAAGGAAATAAGTCAAAAACTGTAACTGGACCAAAACCCGACTCGCGGTCGACCGCGACGAATCCTTCTCCTAATCAGAGTCTCTGGAGTTAGAGGAGGCTCTCCCGAATTATTTAATATATATATAAGCTCTCAAACCCGACCCAAAACCCAAAACAACCCGGACTGGGAAAACAGTCTGGCCGCTGTGCGGTCGACCGTCGTGCCATGCGCGGTCGACCGCGAAGCTGCTCCTCAGCAATGTGTCTGTCTGTGCACGTCGGCGGTCGACCGTGCCTCAGTCAAAATGCGCCCTTCGTCGTTTTGCTTGAACTTCGTCGTCGTCGATCCTGTTCCTCCTGTTCCACTTTGTTCCTCTTCATTCTGAAGTATAGGGCAGGTCTGATAGTTAGGCTTCACATATCCTAACACTTTCCTAAATATTCGCTAATTAACTTGCTGATTCAATCAGGGGGGAGCTAGTATCAGGTAAATTCCTGTATTGAATATTATCTAATCTACTCAAGCTATAAGCTTTAGTTACAACAGGAGTTTATTAGGAAGCTTGAGTGGACTTATTGCTTAAAGCTCAAAATATTTGGAGGAAGGTATTGGTGATTGTATAATTTTTTGAGTCCATATAAATAATAATAAGTTTGTGCTATCCCAAGGGGTTCAAGTATGATTCTGAGTACCTCATATGAGTGTAAAGTATGTTAACAGCACTCGTATAATGTTTTGGACAAGTGCAGTTCTGATATTGTTTGAACTTGTAGATATCCTATTTGTACTTCATTTGAATCTTATTATGTCTCTAATCGAACAACGAACGACAAAGAACAGCAGAAATCAATCAAAAACATTAAAAAAGAAAAAAAGCAGAAATCAGTCATCGTCTTATGTACGTGTAGCTAGTAACAGTTGATGCAATGACAATTCACTCATTTATTTTCAAATAACAGATATTTGCAAAATAAATTGTCTTTAACAAGCTACAAAAACCTCCATACGAGAGAAAATATCCGATGATTAGTTACGCGTGAATGACTTCAAGGACTATCTTAGCTCCAAACTTTGACCTTTATAATTTGTGCATTTAGAATTTAAATAGAAATATTTGAGATTGGGTTCACCTGAGGAAAAGACTGTTATCGCAGGAAGAGGCGACGACTTCAGCGGTGACTTCAGCGGAAGAGGTGATGTCGGTTCATGAACAGTGCATCAAGCCCCCAGGGGCTGACACCTCATCTGTCCCCTCAAGGGTCCCCTATTTTGGGGTCCCTGAGGAGTTTTCCTTTCACAAATCCCTCCTAAGTATGATTAAAGATTTAATTAGTGTTAGTTAATAATTACAATGCTAATTGAAAAATGCATTTTGGTCTTTGTGCTAGTGCATCCACATTAAGAGGTTTGGTTGAAAACAATGCGCGATTTTCTGAAATACCCCAAACTTAAAGGCAGTTAAGTGGTATTTTTTAACTTTAAGGTCCCATTTGGTAAAGGGTTAAGTGATGATTTAAGGATAGTTAATCCCTCCTTAAACTGCCAAACACAAAAAAAAGGTACTGGGTGTAAATTGAGTTAGCCCTTTATATTTTAGCAAAAAAAAAAATAGTATAAGGGTTTATAAACCCCTCAAAACGAGTGTTTCACAAATCCACCTATTTAAATGGATTAAGAGATAACCCCTATGTTTATAAAGAAAGTAATAATCATAATCCATTTCAGTCCTAAACACAAAAAATGTCCAAAGGAATTAGTTAACAAATGGACTAGCTATGTTAACCCTTCTCCTTAACCCTTACTTCTTAAACCTTTGCCAAACAAGGCCTAAGATGATAATTCTAAAATTAGCCGAACTTAAAGGAGAGTTTGTGATTTTTTAAAACTTAAGGGGGTTATCCCATAAACAGCCAAACTCAGTGTGTTTTTCTATGAAATTTATCCTAAAGTTTTCAAGTTAATATTTTCAAATTGTTCCTTGGGCCCTACTATGCACGTATGTTCTGATAAAATTTATACTTGGGATTCAAATAGTAGGGTGGGGAAATGAAATATGTTTAGATTTTAGAGCATGAAGGGTTTGAGTAAGGAAAGTATATCAAGTTCAAATATATAGTTAATTGCGATTTGATCCCTAACAGTTCTTACCCAAATCAAACAAAGGGCCAGTGCAATGGAGACTTTTGTTTGACGTTCTGAATTTACCTAGTTCATATTATAGGATTTGTTTGGCACCCTCTCAAGATGGCAACAGGATTGATCCATGTCTGATCTTCGAAAGGAGTCTTGTTCAGAAAAAATTGGACCAGTGTTGCCCAGCTTTTCCTAAAAGGTCAAAAAAAAAAAAAAAACTCTAAAGCTAGTTCTATTTTGACCCACTCACCCCTGGTTCGAAGCAGAACTAGGTTGCCTCAAAATTAAGATCAACTCTGAACCAGGTTTGTGGAATTCGCCACGGTGACCATTAAAAGATACTTGAGACCTTTTCGTAATTTTTCTATGATAAATTATGAATTTGTACAAGGGAGTTTAAGTTGTCGTACATCAGCAATACCATAATACTAAACGCTATTCACGGGAAGATCACTTCATGGGATTCTGCAATAAATGAAAACACGAGAACTGCCCCTCCCCCCCTCTCTCTCTCTCTCTCTCTCTCTCTCTCTCTCTCTCAAATTAGTATCTGCATTCAGTCCGAGGCAAGTCATTTGAGTTTCGCAGGAAATGGCAGATAAAATTCAGGGACCAAACTCTCATATTGAATTGGGGTCCATGACTATTTGTAGTCTT